TGTTGCGATGGTCATGTTCCCGCAGAGAGAACATGAGTCATCCACGAGCGCTGCTCTAGCGTGATCAATGCCCAAACACACTATGCAACGCTCGTGCCCATCAGAGTCGGCAACGAGTCTACCGCAACCAGAAGTGCACGGGCGAGGCATCTTTAAAAAGACGTGCCACGTGCAAGCTCTTTTGTGAGAGAAAAGAAACTCTGACTGTGTTGAAGCGCCCGGGGAGAAACACACTCGCTGTCAAACCACAGACAGATAAGCAGGAAGTGTGCGCTCGCCGGAGATCGCCGTCACACCAACACCAGAGAATCTCGCTCGTCTTGAAGAACTGACAGTACAGGAATGGCTTGTGGAACGAAGGATCAACTTGGCTCCGAAGCGAAAACATGCCTATTTGCTGCCAGCGTTCTCCTTAAATACCCACGAGGTGAGGCGGAGTTACGCTATGCAAATTCCGCAGACCCATGGCATTTCTTTGCCATTGGCTCGTTTTGTAGTACTCAAAGTCGATTGGCTTTCTAAGCGAAACCCCATTCGTCGTCATCCGACGGAACTCGGAGTGACAACGAAAGGGAACAAACTGTTCCAGCCGATAACCGACGAGAAGGATTCGGGGGTGAGTTTGGGGGGGTTAGTGCGCTGATGAGAAGGGAGGGTCTAGCTAGCCTCTGTTTTGTTTGACAATACTTTAAACGTCAACAAGAAGTGAATGAAAGATGTCACCTGACATCGCTTAGAGCACCTTTAATAATATTAATTTTACTACATTAAATTAATTTGATTAACTGATCCAAATATTCATAATCAATTATAATAAGTTATGATTGATTATAAATATTTCTTTAGAGCTAATTTGCTACAATATTTTTAATGTTCAAATTGCATGAGATTTAAAAAAAAAAAAGTAATATATATGATAAAGTGTGAATAGTAAAAAGTGAGAGTCTCTCTTCTTCAAATCAGAAACCACCCTGGCAAAGCAGCAACACCATTAAAGACTAAAGAAAATGTCAAACTGCAAACAGTAATGATGTATTGCACTACGCCAGTTAAATGGTATGTGCAAAAATGGGTTTATTTTCAAATGAAAAATTATTCATAGAAAAAAACATGACAACAATTAGCAGATGGCAAATTTTATTTCACTGTTTTCATCAATTAATTTTATCAAAAAGTCTAATATAATAAGCTTAGTGTACTTAGTCTACTGCAAATATACTATAAATAATAATACAACTTAAACTTTTTTGAGTCTATAAAACTATTGAATAAACCACATCCTGAACCTAGAATGTCATGAAGCACAGCAACTTTTCAAACAAACATAATAGGATTATAACAGGTCACGATGACAGCAGTAACGAACATTTAAACAACCGGAGAAGCTCAAAGTTAACCAAGCTCTAGAACCCAACCAATCCAGCAGAACCCGACAGAGACCGATCCGAGCACACGGACCCGTTCGCCCGAGAGGACCGTGAGCCTTTGGACTGAAGACTGACTGAACTTGCTGAGCGAGAGCCTCCGCTGGCCCTCTGACGGCTCGAGGGGTCCGAGGACATCCGGCTCTGCTCCGGGGCCTCAAACTCAAGAGGCTCCTGTAACGTTTGGGAGGAACGACACAAGCCGACTGGAGTTAGAGGCACTTCGGGTTGGGAATGAGGCTGGGGAATGTCTTCAGCGATAAATAAAACAATAAATACACTATCATTCAAAAGTTTGGGGTTGGTTAGATTATCTTCCATGTGAGATTAATGATTATTATTCTTTTTTTTTTTTTTAAATGTATTACTCTCCTTATTAGTTAGGACTTCAATCGGAATAAAAATGTTTATGTTTTTGAAAGAAGTCTCTTCTGCTCACCAAGGCTGCATTTATTTGATCAAAAATACAGTAAGAACTGTGAAATATTATTAAAATATAAAGTAACTGTTTTCTATGTGAATATTTAGTAAACTGTATTGTATTCCTGTGATCAAATCTGAACTCTTGCAGCATCATTACTCCAGTCTTCAGTGTCACATGATCCTTCAGAATTCTGTGGAAACCGTAGATCATGCCTGAAATGTTTCCATATTTTGTTGGAAACACTTTTTCATGATCCTCTAATGAATAGAAAGTTCAAAAGAACAGCATTTATTTGAAATAGAAACCTTCTATAACATTTGTAGTCTTTACTGTCACTTACCAAATTAATGCACCCTTGCTGAATTAAAAATATATTAATTTCTTTAAAGTGGACCTATTATGCCCCTTTTTACCAGATGTAATATAAGTCTCAGGTGTCCCCAGAATGTGTCTATGAAGTTTCAGCTCAAAATACACTACAGATAATTTATTACATCATGTTGTAAATGCCCATTTTTGCAACATGCCGTTTTTGTGCATGTATCTTTAAATGTAAATGAGCTGCTTGATCCCACCCACTTTCCAGAAGAGGGCGGAGCCTGTGCAGCTCGTGCCTCAGATACTCTGACAAAAAATAAAAACATCTGTTTGGTGTTGATTGATCTCTATTTTGTTCACATTGCAGTTCTTCATAATCATGAAAGTTTATTATCTGCATGCGTTTTAAAGCCTTATCAGTCTAAACTTCTGATATATAGATTTCAGAGCGCCTACACCCGAAGCTCGCGCACAGAAAGCTGGATGTCAGATGGAGCATCACGTGAGTATTAAACTAAGTTCTCTTTCACGTCTTATCGAACTAGGGGTGTGAACCTAAACTGGTCTCACGGTACGGTTCAATTACGATTATCATGTCATCAATTCAGTTCAGTTATTACGATGCACTGTATCTTCACTTTTCAATTTTACTTCAAAAGCTATGTGCGTGCGCGCGCGCGTGTGAGTGTTCGCCTGTTCTGGAAGTCACAGTGACAGAAAAAGTGACATTCCAGTTTAAGTTTCAAGGGAGTAAAGCCTGTTTATGCCATTAAGAAAATGAAATTCTGTCAAATCAATTTTGTTTTAAAGAAATGTTCATTTAAAAGCAGCGCTCATTCATCAGTGTATAATGTTACCCTGGAGATGTGCGCATCAACCGTCGCCGAGTCCGCTGTTGAAGGTGACGATCATCCATTTATAATCACGCGTAACAACACAGAATAATTGTAATTTGACCATCGGGTGCGGACACTTAAATCAGAGAGCATTATTAGGGCGGGTGGATGATGTTTTTGGCTGCGGATTCGGGTGACGCTGGAGCTCATCTTACTCTAGAGCAGGCGTTATAGCTTGGGTGAAAACGGCTAACGTGGTTCATCAAGTTAGTGTATTACCTCCTGCTAGTGCTGGGCGGTTTGACCAAAAATTGATATCACGTTTTCTTTTCAAAGTTATGCCGGTTTTCCGGTTTATGACAGGTTTTTTTTCATGCATAATCAGGTGTTCAAAGCATTTTCTACTGGTTGAGAGAGGAATTACTGCAGTAAATTGACCTCGGATGGTCTATTTTACTGGCATTAGTGAATATTATAGAATAGAATAGTGACCAGTATAAACTAAAACTGTTATTTCTTAACATTCTAATAACGTTCTTATAACCAGGAAATAACATTAATACAACGTTTATATAACGGGAGAATTGAATTCTAATGACGTTTGAATGATGTTCTTATAACCAAGCAAGAACGTTAATACAACGTTTATATAACGGGAGAATTGAACGTTCTTATAACGTTTTGAATAACGTTCTTATAACCAAGAAATTACGTTAATACAACATCTAAAAAACTGGACGTTTTGAATGTTCCTAGAACATTCAGAAATAACGTTTTTATAACTTAATGGGAACGTTATGAAAACGTTCTTATAACCTAAAATTGTTAGCTGGGGAAGAGGAGAGATTCGTGATTGCACTGAACACGTTTTAAGTGCAGCATTCTGAGCGAGCCCAGAGAAAATAGACCTATTTTTACAAGAGCAGCGTGTATCTGAGAGCGCGGCACATTATATTCCGCACGCGGGCAGAGAGATTCGCGCTCGTGCATATTAATGTACTTTCGCGCTACAATAATGCGCTCTCGACATTTGACAGGAAAATAACGCCATAGTTCTGCAGCATCCATCTTCCCTGTAACGTAACACCAGAGCACTGCTGTTTACCCTCGCTTCGCAGTCGCTGCTTAGAAGTGCAACATTGTAAAGGGTCCATCTGAAACGTTCGTTCCGAACGTTGTGTAATTAAATACATCGGTATGGCGGTATATTAAAAATTAATATCATAACAAAAATATATACCAGTTTTCAGAATGAACCGGTATACCGCCCAGCACTACCTCCTGCATATTCTATTTGACATGAGCGCACAAAGCGCGTGTCTTCTCCAGGTCTTACCAGGTTGTTCATAAAAGCCAAAATGTGCCCAGATGTAGGCTTTTAAAGTAGCTGGAGCATTTTTAGTTACTCACACTCGCATCTCACCTCCTTCTGCCAGTGTGTGCTACCGCGACAAAGCACAAGTCAGAAAGGCGTTAGTACGGTTATGGTCTATTACTGAACCGATACCGAATCGTCCTCGTCTGCATCGCGATGCATCGTAGAAATGATTAATTTCGACACCCCTATATCGAACTTAAACTGTCAAATACACACAATGTTCACATAAACACAGTTGGTTATGTCTGTGAACGTAAACAGCAGGGAAAAAAATAGCATGTGTAAATTAGATCTGTGTATTAAAGTGAAAGCAGCGTAATATACAGTACCTGCAGTACCTGCTTTAATAAGAATAGATTTCTTACTGCTAAATGCTGTGGCGAGGAGATAAACATGGCCGACTGGGGAGGAGCTATGCTAATAGGGCGGATTCCGTGCCCGTCGTTGGCGGGGCCTGTGCATTTGTGATGTCACATTGGATCACATTCCTGATTGGCTCATTTTGAGACACTGTTTCAGATTTATGGGGAAAATAACAAATGGAGTGGACGGACTTTTACTACACAAAATCTTACTGACCTCAAACTTTTGAATGCTAGTAAATAAATATTCATTTTTTATTAAATAATTTTTGAATGTGTCATGTTTGTCTTATGTCTGCTCACGGCTGGAGTCTCCCTCCTCTCCTCGTTTCTCTGGTTCTCTCGGCTGATGTGTGTCCGCTCTGTTGAGGAGAGCTGAGGATGCCCAAGAAGCCCGAAGTCTGATTGGTCAATTCCAGCCATAGACGCAAACCGGCCAAGCCTAACACAAAGAAATTCCCAATTAATCCCAACTAAATCTTCTAAAATTCAAAATAATAATAATCTGGCATCACGACTTCTGAAGAAAAAAGTCACACAATTCATACAGTAGATGTAAAATTTGAGATATATTAGATATCTGGTAACGGATCAGACAAACCCGGCATCTTTCAGCAGGTCCAGGAAGGCGTGGAATTTGTGGAAGGAGGATTCGATGCTTTCCAGCACATGTTCATCATCTAGAACAGAGGCGTTGAGATGGGCTTCAGACAGGGATTGATTCAGACTGCGCAAACGCTCATTCTCCAGTTCCAGCTACAGGAAGAGACATGATGAACATTACTTTCTGAAATGGTACTATTCATTTTGCCAACAGAATGACTGGAAATACTTGTACCTCCACCAGGCGAGAGTTGGTCTTCAGTCTGGTGTTCCTCTCCTCTGCCAGCCTCAGCCGACACTCTTCTAGCTCCACCTGTGGGTGAGCGGAGGAAGTGCACCACATTATACTTCATGTGTACAGTGGCACCACAATATCTAACTGTATATTAAAGCCATGCTTAAAAATGTAAGAATGTCTTTACATTAGATAAAATATATAAACCAAGTGCCACTGTACATACACTCACCTAAAGGTTATAGGAACACCATACTAATACTGTGTTTGACCCCCTTTCGCCTTCAGAACTGCCTTAATTCTACGTGGCATTGATTCAACAAGGTGCTGAAAGCATTCTTTAGAAATGTTGGCCCATATTGATAGGATAGCATCTTGCAGTTGATGGAGATTTGTGGGATGCACATCCAGGGCACGAAGCTCCCGTTCCACCACATCCCAAAGATGCTCTATTGGGTTGAGATCTGGTGACTGTGGGGGCCATTTTAGTACAGTGAACTCATTGTCATGTTCAAGAAACCAATTTGAAATGATTTGAGCTTTGTGACATGGTGCATTATCCTGCTGGAAGTAGCCATCAGAGGATAGGTACATGGTGGCCATAAAGGGAAGGACATGGTCAGAAACAATGCTCAGGTAGGCCGTGGCATTTAAACGATGCCCAATTGGCACTAAGGGGCCTAAAGTGTGCCAAGAAAACATCCCCCACACCATTACACCACCACCACCAGCCTGCACAGTGGTAACAAGGCATGATGGATCCATGTTCTCATTCTGTTTACGCCAAATTCTGACTCTACCATCTGAATGTCTAAACAGAAATCGAGACTCATCAGACCAGGCAACATTTTTCCAGTCTTCAACTGTCCAATTTTGGTGAGCTCTTGCAAATTGTAGCCTCTTTTTCCTATTTGTAGTGGAGATGAGTGGTATCCGGTGGGGTCTTCTGCTGTTGTAGCCCATCCGCCTCAAGGTTGTGCGTGTTGTGGCTTCACAAATGCTTTGCTGCATACCTCGGTTGTAACGAGTGGTTATTTCAGTCAAAGTTGCTCTTCTATCAGCTTGAATCAGTCGGCCCATTCTCCTCTGACCTCTAGCATCAACAAGGCATTTTCGCCCACAGGACTGCCGCATACTGGATGTTTTTCCCTTTTCACACCATTTTTTGTAAACCCTAGAAATGGTTGTGCGTGAAAATCCCAGTAACTGAGCAGATTGTGAAATACTCAGACCGGCCCGTCTGGCACCAACAACCATGCCACGCTCAAAATTGCTTAACTCTTCCGAGTCGCCGATCACGCCGGCGTGATCAAGTCACATGACCAGTTTAAGACGTCAAAGCATAAAAACAAAGTCACGTTGAGCACTGCCATCCACTTCTGTCGAAAGTGCTGGCTTGAAACTCTATTCTACTTTTTGTTTTGTGTTGATTGACCAAATAAAAACGGAGATATGATCATTTAAACTTTATATAAAAAAATATTGAAAAATATTGACGCGTTCGTAAAAGAACGCAAGATGGGATGCGACAGGCGTTGCATTTATTCTAATAACTTTGTCGGTTTTTGTCATAAAACAAAACGGAGAAAAATGTGTAAATCTGCTGAATCTGCTCTTCAGGCTGCACACTTTAGGGAGTGGAGGAGGAGCCAACTGAGCAAAGAAGCGAAAGGCGGGAGATTGACGGAGTTGACAAGGAGAGACATACTGAGAGAGATATTATTGCTAGTTTAGAGGAGTGGAGTAGTGTAGATAATTTAGGTAGTTTGGGAGTAGATTTAGAGTGTTTTGTGGAAGTAAAATGAAGCGAATGTTTTCGCTTGAACAAGCCCTCGACTTGTTCTATCGACTGGACGACCAGGACGTTGTTTACAGTTCATCGTCGGAATCAGAAAGTGGTGATGATGAGATTGACGACTCGGCTTTTGTGGTTCAGAACGAGAGGTGAGAAACTTTTTGTGAACATTTATTGCTAGCTTATTGTATCTTATATTGTGTGTGTGTGTGTGTGTGTGTGTGTGTGTGCGCGCGCGCGCGTGTGCGTGCGTGCGTGTGTGTGTGTGCGTGTGTGTGTGTGCGCGCGTGTGTGTGTTTCTGTCTTGTCTGTCTGTCTGTCTGTGTGTGTTTGTGTGTGTGTCTCTGTCTGTGTGTCTCTGTGTGTGTGTGTGTGTGTGTGTGTGTGTCTGTCTGTCTCATACTATGGAGCCAGATCAGACTCATTAATAATTCACGCAAAAAACATGATTCACACATGCGTAGACAATTTCACATGCGTGAAACCTAATTCACGTACACACAAAAAAAATTCACGTGCCTGAAAAAAAATATATATTCACAAAAAGCAATTCACATGCGCAAAATAATATTATATATTCATAAAATACATTTCACAAATGCAAAACACAATTCGTAGATATACAACTGTGCACAAAAACCTTTGAATGTTTAAAATGTACGAGTGTGTCCTTGAATTTGAATGTGCAAATCGTCATTCACGTACGAATCGCCTTGGATGTGTGTGTGTGTATTTTTGAGACTTTCCTGGCAGCGCTTCACTCGTAACACAGAGCAGTCGTACTCTTTACCCAATCAGATTTAAGCTCATCAATCGACCAATCAGTATCACGTGAGGGCGGGCCTACCTGCATGTTACGTCATCAGCTTTCGACCAGTTCATGGCTGAGAGCAGAGGTAAGTGCAGTTACTCGTTCATTTCGGTGTTAACTGAAGTTAGAGATCAGTTGAAGCAATAGTTTATGAACTATTAACTGATGTAAGCAAGTGTTGTTGTAATCAGATGTCCCATATCGTGTCAAAAATGAAGAAGAATGATGCTTGTTTTGTTGTATTTTATCTGTACAGACAGCTCTCACAGCTAATCATCACGCTAATGATTGAAAAACAATCATCTGTGGTCAATACCCACCCTAGCTCTCTTAGCACTGGCCTCATCGAGATTGTTCTTTAAATGGTGAATAGACCTATTTTAATGAGCACCCAGTGTTTATTTGCCATTTGTGTATGTTGTTAAATTATTATTAACACTTGTTTCCCTGCATTTTTCAGGATTACTCACCTTTGGTGTGTCACAAACATCTTAATTCATGTTGTTTCTTTATTCTCTTTTATACTTTTTTTTGTATTTATGTCTTAATTGGTAACACTTTACAATAACGTTTCATTAGTTAACATGAGCTAATAATGAACTGCACGTAAACAGCCTTTATTATTTTTGTTAATGTTAATTTCAGCATTTACTAATAGGCTACTTAATTAAAATCTTGTTAACATTAGTTAATGCACTGTAAACTAACAATAAACAGCTGTATTTTTAACTAACGTTAACAAAGACTAACAAACACCGCAACAAATGAATTGCTCATGGTTAGTTAATACATTAACTAATGTTAACTTAGTTATTGTACCATATTGTAGAGTGTTACCATTATATCCAACATTTCCTTATGTTTTGTGCTGTATTGTCATCTCAAGGTTTTTAAATAAGGTTTTTTATTGTCATCTTAAGGTCTCACAGGACAATATTGTGAAGCATTCATTTTACTTTGCTTAGTAAAATAGGCAAATCTGATTTTGTGCTGATAAGACAAAGGTACTTATCATAGAGATGCAATTAAGATTATGCGACTAAGATTACTCAGTAAACTCTATTCAAATACCATCACTTAATTTCCCACGTCCTCTGTCAGCACCTCTTGTACTATAGGTTTTTACTATTTTAAATATCAGGACAAAATCTGATGTCCTAACAGAGAGGTCTACTGATGACTGGATTGAACACAATTCATTTGTTCACTTTTCACTTGATGTATTGCACTTATATTTATATACTTTAAAAGCAAAGAAGACTCTGACTGGATCTCACAACTCTGGAAGAGACGTATATTTCTCTGTACTGAATGTTCCTGATCTTCATATGTAACAGGAACATTAAAGGTTCTCTAAGCGATCCTGGGCGACGTCACTTCTTGTTGACGTTCGAACTATTGTCAAACAAAACGGAGGCTAGCTAGACCCTCCCTCCTCCTCATCCGCACACTAACCCCCCAAACCCCGCCCCCAAACCCTTCTTGTCGGTCATTGGCTGGAACAGTTTGTTATGTTTCGGGGAGCGGGTCGCCGCAGTTTGCTTTTGTTGCTGTTTGTGGAGCCTGGGCTGTCTACAGAGATCGCGTTTCTTTACAGTGTGTTCAGGGGACAGGCAGCCAGTGGATAGTGAGGAGATGTTTGCTGTATGTGACAAAAAATGTTTTGGCCTAAAAAACGCGTGACATCGCTTAGAGCACCTTTAATCATGATCAAGTCATTTTATATATATTTTTTATTCCCAAAGGATTTCGGAAACTTTCAAATTAATAAAACGTGTACATCAAATTGAACTATGTCTTTGAATCTTTTAATTCTGACAAGAACATTTAAAAATGCATGCATAGCGGGGCTGTATTCCTAGAGCGTGTACATATAGTCCGCAGGAGACAAATGAATACAGTAACAATGCATCACTTTCAACCTCTTGTTGAAACAACTGTCAAAATGGTTGGCTTGCAACAGGACTGTTTTGAAAGATTTACAGTAGGAATGGTAAGATCACAGTACTGGTTGTCTGCAACTTCATACATCATCTGTCTCGGAAATCTGAAACAATAAAACTACATAATATATGCAGTTTAAAACAAAACATGTCTCCTATATATGCACGTCATTACATACATTATCATCAGTTGAATGTGTTGTGGACAGGACATGAAAATCCATCAATACTAAAAATAAATGTTTATGTTCACATGTGGACTAAACAGCAGTTCATAAACTATGCTTCAACTGATCTCTAACTTCAGTTAACACAGAAATGAACGATTAACTGCACTTACCTCTGCTCAGCCATGAACTGGTCGAAAGCTGATGACGTAACATGCAGGTAGGCCCGCCCTCACGTGATACTGATTGGTCGATTGATGAGCTTAAATCTGATTGGCTAAAGAGTACGACTGCTCTGTGTTAAGAGTGAAGCGCTGCCAGGAAAGTCTCAAAAATACACACACACACATCCAAGGCGATTCATACGTGAATGACGATTTGCACATTCAAATTCAAGGACACACTCGTACATTTTAAACATTCAAAGGTTTTTGTGCACAGTTGTATATCTACGAATTGTGTTTTGCATTTGTGAAATGTATTTTATGAATATATAATTTTATTTTGCGCATGTGAATTGCTTTTTGTGAATATATATTTTTTTCAGGCACGTGAATTTTTTTTGTGTGTACGTGAATTAGGTTTCACGCATGTGAAATTGTCTACGCATGTGTGAATCATGTTTTTTGCGTGAATTATTAATGAGTCTGATCTGGCTCCATATGTACATTGTGTATTGTACTGTACATTTATTGCTAGCTTATTGTATATTGTGTGTGTGTGTGTGTGTGTGTATGTCTGTCTCTGTGTGTGTGTGTGTGTTTGTGTCTCTTGCTCTGTCTGTGTGTGTGTCTGTCTCTGTCTGTCTGTGTGTGTCTCTGTCTGTCTGTCTGTTATTGTACATTGTGTGTTGTACTGTACATTTATTGCTTGCTTATTGTATATTATTTTGTGTGTGTGTCTCTGTCTGTCTGTGTGTGTGTGTGGCTGTGTGAACAAGCATTTCATTGCCAACGACTTCTTCACTGTAATTGTTGTGCATATGTGCCAATGAGCATCTTGTACTTTGATGTACAATCTTTAATCTTTTTACATGTGTCTTGACGTACAGAGATGATGAGCAGCCTGGTTCATCTACCACTCCGACAACAAGCAGACAGAGGCCTACACAGAGAGGGGGTGGAAGGAAGAGTCAAACCAGATCAAGATCTCCAGCAAAGTCAGGACAGCCACACCACAGCTCTGAGCCCTGGAAAATCGAGAGTGATCCTGATACTGCCCCACAAACCAGTAGGTTCATGCCCCGCAGAACACCAGGAGCCCAGGTGAATATGCATTCAGTACACTCGCCAATGGACCTGTTCCAGCTGTACTTTGCCAGGGATACCATGAAGACACTCTGTAAAAACACCAACAAGCAGGCAGCAAAAAAACAGGAAATGGGGAATAAGTACAAATGGACTGATGTTGAAGTTGAGGAACTATACAAATACCTAGGTCTCCTCATGTACACATCATTGGTGTCACTGCCAAGTCTCCAGGACTACTGGAGAAAAAACCACTTCATGTCTGTGCCGTTTCCAGCCACTGTCATGACAAGAGACCGATTCAGGGCGTTATCTTGGGACATCCACCTCAGTGATCCAGAGGAGGATGTCAGAAATGACCAGAAGAAGGGAACACCACAGCATGACAAGCTGTTCAGAATCCAACCTCTGATGGATGACATTCGGAATGCCTGCAAGGCTCATTACCACCCAAGGAAGGAACTGGCAGTCGATGAGAGAATGGGGGCAACCAAAGCAAAAACTGGCATGACCCAATATATGAAGGACAAACCAACAAAATGGGGGATCAAGCTGTTTGTGTTGGCAGAGTCAAGTAATGGCTACACACTCAACTTCAATCTGTATGTGGGCAAGTCACACACACCAAGCATGCATGGACTGTCGTATGATGCTGTCATGGACCTCATTCAGCCATCACATCTTGGGACAGGATACCATATTTATATGGACAACTTCTACACAAGCCCCAAACTGTTCCTTGGTTTGGCTAACATTAACTTTGGAGCCTGTGGTACCTACAGGGACAACAGGAAAGGGTGTCCTAGTAAAAGAGCAAATGCCCTCAACAAAAAATCCAAGAGAGGCACCATAAGATGGATCAGAGAGGGCCCCCTGGTCTTTGTGAAGTGGATGGACACACGGGAGGTGTCGCTGTGCTCCACAATCCATCCAGCGTTTTCTGGTGAGGCTGTCCAGAGGAGAGTGAAGGGTGGAGATGGACACTGGGCAGTAAAAGACATTCCCTGCCCTACCCCCCATCATTGCCTACAACAAGAACATGGGAGGGGTTGACCTGTCAGACCAGCTTCTCCAGTATTACTCGCCCCTTCGCAGAACTGCTCGCTGGTACCGTACACTGTTTCTGCACTTTGTGGACATTGCTACAACAAATGCCTACATCCTACACTGTGAGATAAGCCACACACAACAGGTTTAGCACATGACACACAAGAACGTCCTGGAAGAACTGGTGTCCCAGCTGTGTGGAGTGGACAAGACAGGAGTTGCCATCCAGAGGAGCACCGACCATGTTACTGTTGCCATTGGCGTGGCTACAGATGTCAAAGAGAAAGCCACACAAGGTCGCAGGATCTGCCATCGTTGCCAGCAAGTGGAGAAGAAAAGGAACCCTTACACCATGGAAATGCAAGGCCTGTGATGTAGCCCTGTGTCTCATTGTTGACAGAAACTGTTTTGAGGAGTGGCACAGATAAAAAACCCCACAAAAAACCACCTGATATTTGTTGTAAATAGTAGTATGTATAGTTTGATTTTGTGTTCATTCACCTTTTTTATAGTATATGTGCACTATTTAGGAACCCCTCTTACTCAATCAATGAAAGCCCTGTAATCTAGCTGTCTGTGTAATTGTACATGAATTGTTTTGAGTTTCTAAGCAAAAAAGAAAAGAAAAAAAACGTCTATTGCCACACCTGCTTTTTGCTGTATATAGTTTGATTTTATGTCAATTTTACCTTTTTTATGTTGTATTTGCACTATTTGGGAACCCGCATACTCTGGGAATGCAAGGCCTTAAATATAGCTCTCTGTATAATTGTGTGCATAAACTGTTTTAAAAAGTGGCAAAGGTAAAAAGAAAAAAGAAAGCCTATGGCTACACCCGCTTTTTTTGTAAATATTTTTTTTTTGTATATAGCTTGATTATATCTGAATTGTACCTGTATATGTTGACATGTACAACTTGTGTTTACATTTTAAACCTTTTAAAATGCTTCATTGAGCATGTTTGTGTTTTTTGTGGTAAAAAAGCTATAATTTTTCTATTCGGATTTTGTGTTTTTTGTGTGATTTTGGGTCCAGTATGTTGATACAGTACACCAAAGTGAAAAACTAATTGTCTGGTCATATAGGTGATGTTGTGCTGAAAAAAATGATACCAAACATTGGTATGGTAAACATTTATTTATGTCGCAAAATAAAAAAAATAAAAACTACTCAAAAACAGCCAAAATATCCCAAGACTCCGAAGGGTTAAATCACCTTTCTTTCCCATTCTGACATTCAGTTTGGAGTTCAGGAGATTGTCTTGACCAGGACCACACCCCTAAATGCATTGAAGCAACTGCCATGTAGTAGTATCCTTTTATTCAGACTCATGGTCTAACCATACAAAATAAGATAAGATAAAAATACAATAATACAAATACAAATACACAATACAAATTTACAAATGACTCGTTTTTAAAAGACACTTATACCAGTGTTCCCAAAACTGAGACATGCAGCGTGTGGCACTGTACCTAACATTCACCAGCACCACAACAACTTGATTTACAGAATCATTCAGTCGACAAATGAACCTGAACATCGCTTTTCGCAGGACAGACTGCAGTGTGTCCACTCTTGTGCTCACAAACAACTCACTCGCACAAGTTGATCTGGGCTTTTTTAGTAACATCCTCAGAGCGTCATTGAATGCTACTTGCAATTTCTGAAGACTAGCTTTTTTATAGTTCAGCCACAGATGTGCAGTGTACAAAGGCGAACAGTATGATTTAAATAGGGTCAACTTGACTCCAGCAGTGCAGCAACCAAATTTGCGTACTAGAACATTTGCCCGCACATACAGCATACGGCACTGACGATTAATGTCATTGTCATCTGTAAGCTGATCTGTAATCAGATGACCAAGATATTTCACTTTACTGCAGATATTAAGAACATTACCTGCGAGCCTAAAAACAGGAAAAGTTAAATGTCTGTCTTCTGCGGTTCTGCAGATCATGATAACACTTTTGGAGTCATTGTACTTTACATCATGTTCTTCCCCAAACGCAGAACATATACTAAGAAGATGCTGCAGTCCAGCTGAGCTCGGGCTAAAAATCACACAATCATCTGCATACATAAGATGATTCATCACTGTACTACCGACCATACAGCCAGTTTTACCTCGGTTTAATTTATATGATAAATCATTCATGTAGAAATTGAATAAAATGGGGGATAAGATGCTCCCTTGTCTTACTCCATTACTGATATGAAAGGGAGCCGACATACAGCTGTCCCATTTCACTTGCATGGTCTGTTGGGCATACCAATATGATAGGATTCTGACAATGTATTTAGGGACTCCTGCTGCATCCAATTTTTTAAATAATTTCCAATGATTCACCCGGTCGAATGCCTTGGATGCATCTAAAAAACATATAAAAACAGTTGAGTTTTTTCTCTTATAGTTGCTTAATAATTCCTTCAGGACATATATACACATATCCGTACCATGCTTCGGTTTAAAACCAAATTGATTATCTGCAGAGGTAATTATTTCATTAATCCTCTCAAGTAGAATTAATTCCACAACTTTTGATACTATATTAGCTAAGGCGATGGGTCTATAGTTGTCTGAGGAACCCACTTTTCCTGCTTTATCCTTAATCACAGGAATCAACATCACAGACATCATTGAGTCTGGAAGAAAGCCATGGATCATGAAGGCAGTAAAGCCTAGTGCAAGAAGTGTATATAGCCTTATGCTTGCATTTTTTAGATGTTCAGCCGAGATAGAATCCAGGCCAGTTGATTTATTAACTGCTAAGTTCCTAATAGCTTTAGATACCTCATGAACATTGATTGTATCTACATTGTCAACATTATCTACTTTAAAACATTTAGTCTGTACACAATTAAACAATTTTCTATAATGCTCTCGGCAGAGCTCAGCAATAGCATTTGCACCAGGGACTCCATCAACTGAACATGGTAGTGAGGGTTTGCAGGTATTTGTACGTTTCACCTCTTTCCAGAAATCATTATTTGTGTTGTCTAAAAGTTTCTTGGCCATAGCTTCTGCCCTCAGATGCTGCTCATTTTTACTAATGAAACGTATTGCATATTTACATTTTGCATTTGTGCTCTTCTTATATTCAAAAATAGGTCCCTGTCTTGGTTTACCAGCCATTGCCCAAGATCTAGTAGCTTCACGAGCCTCAGCATAGAATTCAGCCACATATGCATTCCAGCCAGGCCGAGTTTTTCCTCCCTTTTTATGCTTAAGAAGAGACTTACTAGCTTCAAGTAAAGCAGAGACAATTGCTGTATACATAGCAGAGATATCTATGATATGTTCACTGTTTGTGCAATTACCATTTTTGCACATGAGTGCCTCTCTAGGGAGATATATATTATTCAATAATTGATCAGTATGTTCATAGTACAAAGACATTTCTTCACATGTAAGAGAGGACCAGTCCAAAAAACCATGATTTGAGTTATTTTCACACTTTATAGTTGACGGTATGTACTCAGACCTGATCACCATTTTTACAGGAATGTGATCAGAAGTGGATACATCGTATAAAATTTCCATATGTGCCAAGGATGCGTGAGCATCAGCTGTAGTGAGGCAATGGTCCAGCCAGGACGTGGTGTGCCAGGCCTCACTTATATGTGTGTAGCTATCAACAGGCAGGAGCTCTCTGCTGGACAGTATTAAATTATTATCGGTACATAAGTTATTTAAATGTTTAGCAAACACTGACTTGTTGTCTGAAATGTCTGCATTCATATCCCCAACGATAAAGATATTTGAAAAACACTCATTTTGTAAATAGGAACTAATAAAAGCAACCTTATTTACATAATCTTCTTCATTTTGCTGGCATTCCTATGGGGTATAAATATTTAAAATAATAAATTCCCTATCACACTGTGTCAGATGTATAGCAATACACCAGTCCACACCAAGCCTAACTACATTAATCGCTGAGTCCAGCTTTTTATTCCACAGAATTGCCACACCTCCTGGAATTCTGCCTCTTTGTATTCCCAGGCTGAGGTCAGTGGTAGACTCTCCAGCACCGTGAAAGCTGTCACTGATTGAGTTTAGGCCCGTTAAATCCTGCATTGCAAGAAATGTTTCCTGTAGGCACAGAATATCACTGTGCTCCAGCAACTGTTCAACAATAAAACGGCGAGCTTTATCCTCAGCACTTTGACCCAAGCGCAGGCCACGGCAGTTATATGATAGGACGCGTATATCCATAGCGACATCATACTTTGGCACTCATGCAATTATCAGGCATACTCGTATTAGCAGAAGGTAGAGTAGCCGCTTTAATGCTAGCACCCACGGTTTCAGCTCTCCGTGGTTCATAGTAGCGCCGTACATACGCTCCCTCTGGCCATAGTTCCGGGTTATACATATCACCAACATCTTTGCATTCAGCAGCTATTTTAAATGATGCGTATCTGCTGTTTACAGTAGCAATCCTTTCGCATGATACTTCATGCCCAAGTTTATGCATAAGATGAGCGCGCAATACTTCAACATCTACATCAGGTGAAAACCTACTGGCGAAGACACTCACCCTTTTTGTTGTTATCATCTTGATGTCTCTTGCCGCACCAGTGCCCACAACAATTTTTGCTGCCCTCCGTTCCAACACAGATTTGCCAATGCGTACTCCCTGTTGAGACTCCTCTGTGCGCTTCTGTCGCCCCCTTTTTACAACCTGGTTCCACTTGGGTAAACCAGGCGACAGCCTGGTCAACCCAGGGCTAGCTGCTGGCATAATACTCTCCATTGCTTGAAGCACGGGTCTTGGAGCCTCTCCTCGGCGTGTGTCACCTGTTGTTTCAGGCACCTCCGCCGAACCATCCGCATCCCCGACATCCGTATAGTGAGTAGTGCGCGTGGTGCTTGCATTCTCCATCCAGCTCACCGGCGCATCAAAGCCCGCACCACCGTGGGCAGCGTTCTGCTCGAGGGCGCAAACCCGGCGGCTCACGTCCGCCGCGACTGCACTCAAACCTTCACCCGTTTCAGACTGTCGGTGCATCGCATGTTTCAAGACGGATACATCAGCATGTAGCTGCTCAACTTTCCGAAGAAGGCCACAGACGTCCACACTGGAAAAAGTCACAGGTGGCAGCTCGTCCAAATAATATGATACAAATTTTGGTATATTATCCCCACATTCATTAAGGACTTTAAGACAGCTCTTGATGTTATTGGCGTCTTTCTGTGCTCCTTTGTGAGAGATATTCCGTTGAGTGGTGGAACAAAGTTCAAACAGCATTTTCTTTGAAGCCTCAATCCATTCTGATCCGAAGTGGTTTGCAGCTAAAAGGACTATTTCATCCTGACTTAAAGTTCTCATTTTTATCGAAAGGAAGTGTAAAAGTTCATCTTCAACTATAACTTTGCCATCAATGGTCTTATATATTTCTGGTTTAAGACGAGCTCTGGCAAACCCAGGAGCACTTGTTGCAGTAACATCCGCCATCTTGCTAGTCTCCATACTCCATAAAGTCTTTTATGACCATGTGATTGGTTGATTAGATAATTGCATTAATGAGAAATTGAACAGGTGTTCCTAATTTTTTTTTTTTTTTTTTTTTTATTTAACAGGGACAATACACTAAGCATTGTTACACATAGACAACCGATGCTGTGTACATAGGGCATATAGCATAAAGCTAGTTTGCGTCCCGCGTCCCTGGTTAGGCTTTTACATAAAATCAAAACATCCAAAAAACAAAACAAAAAAACAAACAAACAATCATCACAAGAAACAAAACAAATACAAATACACACATGTATACATGTGTGCACATGTTGTACCCAAACAAATCAACAATGACATATTGACATACCTAAACACATCAACTTCATAAAAATAACGTATCTAATCTAAAAAAAATAAAAATAACCTCAATGTTCACATCGCTGTGTAGATTTCAGCCATTGTTTCAGCTTTGTACATAAAACCGTAAATTCTGGTTGCAACTTTAGATTCACTGGCATGGTGTTCCATAGATGTCCACCTTTCACTGAAAAGGATGATTGACCCATTGCAGTTCTGCATCTCCGTACTCTACAATTCCCACTTACTACCCCTCTAGTCTTTACCCCATCACTGCTGTATTTTTCTGTCAACTGACAGATTACATCTGGGGCAAGGCCATATAAACACTTAAATACTGTTTTTAAAAATGAGAACTTTAAAAAATTATCAAAACTTAACAAATAATACTTCTGAACAATTTGACAATGATGCCATTTCATTGGTTTCTGATCCATCACTTTTAAAGTTTGTTTATATAATGACATTACGGGTTTAATAACTGATTGAGAAGCCTGACCCCAGATTATTGCACAATAGGTCATATGTGACAGTATCATAGTATGCATATACATTTGAGCTGCTTTAATAGATATACATGGTCGTATCAAATGAAAACAGCTCAAATTTGTCTTAATAGTCTTAGACATTTTCTTAATATGGCTATCAAACTTAAGTTTAGAGTCTACAATGACACCTAAATATTTAAATTCATTCACTTCCTTGATTTTATTTTGGTCAATTTTGATTTTAAATCCATCCAGCACTTTGTTCTTTAGTGAAAAACACATAGAAACTGTTTTGTTATAATTTAAAGTTAAACAGTTATCCTGCAGCCACTGGGAAACACTGACCAGTTGTCTGGTTAACATTTCTGCAGCCAAATGAGAGGTTTCTGCTGTTACATAAATAATTGTGTCATCTGCATACATTTGACAACCGACCTCCTTGCAACTTTCAGGTAGATCATTTATATACAGACAAAAAAGCAAAGGGCCCAATATTGAACCTTGTGGTACACCTAGTTTGCATTTTTGAACTGATGACTTCACACTACTAATTTTAACACATTGCTGTCTACAATCCAGGTATGATTTAAACCAGTTTAAAGCTTGTTGAGAAAAGTTAATTTGTTGCAATTTATGTATAAGTATTTCATGATTCACAGTATCAAAGGCTTTTTTAAAGTCTAAAAATACTGCTCCCACTACTTTTCCTTGGTCCAAACTACTTTTTATTGTATCTATAAAATGACATGTAGCCATTTCTGTTGAATACTTTGGCCGGAATCCAAATTGCTTAAAGTTTAAGAGGTGATTTTTTTTCCAAGTAATTCATTAATTGTTCAGCTACTAACTTTTCTAAAACTTTGGAAATCACTGGAGTAATTGAGATGGGTCTATAATTACATACCTCACCAATCGCTCCAGACTTAAAGACTGGGGTCACCACAGCTGTTTTAAAATTTTGTGGAAACTCACCAGTTTTAATAGATAAATTTACCAAATATGCTATTGGTCTTACCAGTGTTTCACTATGTTTTTTAATAAAAGAAGCATCTAAACCGAATATATCTTTAGCTTTTGAACTATTTAATTGATTAATAATTGTATTGATTTTAACTTGATCAACCTGTGAAATATAAAAAGTTGCTGCGAGTTCTTGTACTGATTTAACAAAAAAGGTATTAAATTTATTTGCAATTTCCAAAGCATCAGTGCTGACCTTTCCATCTATATTCAATTTTATTATGCCTTTACTTTGACTGGTTTTTTGATTGGTTAATTTATTCATATGTTTCCAGATAAGTGAGCTATTGCCCTGTGAGTCAGCGAACAACTGCATGAAATAAGATGACTTTGCTTTTCTCAGTTCACTAACCACTTTATTCCTTAAACCTTTAAATATAAATATATCTGTTTGTAGCTTTGTGGATATAGATTTTTTCAGTGCCACATCCCTCTTTTTCATTAGCCGACGAATATCATTATTAATCCAAGGCAAAAAAACTTTTCTCCTGTTACTTTTAAAAGAGCATGTAAACTTCTGGATTGTATTTGCAAGTGTGTCCATCAAAAAATCACAGCACTCATTCAGATTCTCAATTTGATATACACTCTCCCAATTTATGTTATTCAACTCATTTTCAAACTGAGACATTTTCTGCTTGGGAATTCCAATTTGTGAATTATTAGCTCTAGTTCCAAAAAAACAGCTATGAAATCGTTGTTTTGTTAATTTTCGGACAATCAAAGTTAAATTATGATCAGACAAACCTGTTAACAAATTATACAATTTAATAATTCGCTCTGGTTTATTTGTAAAAATTAAATCTATCAACGTTTTACTGGTTCGAGTGATTCTTGTAGGACTTGTTATCATTTGATGTAGTTTATGTTTAGATGCAATCATTTTAAGTTTATTTTTCTTACCGTTATCCAACCAATTTATATTAAAATCTCCCAATAAAATTGTTTCAGCACGACAATTAAACAATTTAAGCAGTTCATCAAAATCATGATAAAACGAAACATTATGAGAAGGAGGGTTATATAACACCATAATATTAAAATTCATTCTTGCTGATAATACTACATTTAAAATTAAACATTCTAACACAGAAGTCTCCAATTCAACCATAGAACATTTAAAAATATCTCTAATATAAACCAATACCCCACCTCCTTTACCGGTTAATCTATCTTTCCTGTAACATGTATAACCAGGGACATCAATCATATTTGTAGGAATGTTAGTGTTTAACCACGTTTCACTCAGTGCTAAGAAGTCCAAATTAGACTCACTCAATAAATGTTGAACATCTTCTCTTTTTGATAAAACACTACGTATATTAAGATGACCTCCAAAAATACCTTTTGGTTTTGACTTTGAGTCCCAGATCACTTTTGCATGATTCACTGTTTGAAAGTATTTCAATTCTTTTTGCTTGTGTGCCGCATAACCAAAAGAACCTTTACTAGTATGTGGTTTAGGTGATTTTTTAGCAAATTGTTCCACTTTAGGCATGTTATTCATATTTGCATGTTCAAGAGCAGAGTTGGGGGCTAATTTTTGCAAGGCATTTCCCATAGTCTCTTGTTGGGATACAAACAAAGAATCCATGTTCTCCACTTCTGCTGTTCCAACAATTACTGAGTTCTGTTTGAATTGCATGAAGGAGCCACTATTCTGTGCAAGGCCTATAGAAGGCCTCACAACTTCAACACCATGTGTGTCCACCAGTGCCCACTGCAGACACCCTTCAGACCACATATCAGCAGACAAACCCAAGTTGATGTTAGTTGAAGGGCCTGGGTTTAACTGTATATCACCACTTAGCAGGAGCAAAAAGAACAGTACTTTCAAAACATGTCCTTTCCTTCTGCCCTTTATACGTTGTTTAACCTTGTTTGTGGTATGAAGCTCTTGATCAATTTGCCAACAAGTTAAGTAAATAACATGATATCCATATCCACAAAAATTCAGTGTTGATATACTAGCCATAGGTGAAACAGGGACAGAGATACTTGATGTTTCATCGTCAGTCAGGCTCAGACACTGACCAAATGGGAAACAAAGAAACCACATACAGAGTAGCCATATGTAGAAATACCTTTTGTTTCTGAAGATGGTACTTGTTTTTTCACTTGGTTCTTGATACTGTTGATTATATTTGTCCAAACAAGACAGCCATGTGCCACCATATCCCCTGTCTCCAAAACTGGGGTTTAGAGCTGAGATTCCTGTATTTTTCACTAGAAGATTGTTGATTTCCTTTTCCTCAGAATGACACTGTTGAAAACTATAAACCAAACCAACCAGAAGTTGTAAACAAAGCTGGTACAGAAGGTAGAGTTGAAGAGCAGATGTTAAGTCCAGCAAACAGATCAGCCATGTGCAGTCATATCCTGTTACTCCCATGTTGTGGTTTAAAGCTGGTAATCCTGATTTTTTCCATGAATGAATGTTGGTTTCTTTCTCATTTGAATGAAACTGCTGAAGAATGTAAACCAATCCAACCAGAATTCGCAAGAAAAGCTGGTAAAAGAGAGCGAGTGTGGAGCCTAACAAACCACCTCTGCTCCCGGCAGCCATCTTGGATCTGTGCAAATGTGGAAAAGACTTCAGGATGCACCAGGGATAATCCTTTAGGTGAGTGTATGTTGAGCGCATGAACACAATGGCCAATCAGACACATATATGTTGAGCATGTGAACCCCATGGCCAATCAGAGACATATATGTTGAGTGCGTAAACACAATGGCCAATCAGAGACATATATGTTGAGCATGTGAACCCCATGGCCAATCAGAGACATATATGTTGAGTGCGTGAACACAATGGCCAATCAGAGACATATATGTTGAGTGCGTGAATACAATGGCCAATCAGAGACATATATATTGAGTGCGTGAATACAATGGCCCAGCGGTTCCCAAACTTTTTTTCCTGCGCACCCCCTACTATGTCCCAACCGGGTTGGCGCACCCCCAATCCCCACTTAAAAAAAAAATGCAACAAAGCTTTGTTTTATCGCCCTATAAAGACTCATGTTTAATCATGCGCTAATAACCAGAACACGCATGACAATAACATCAACAAAGTTTCAATATAATGCAACAAAGCTATGCACAAGCTTCCACTTTTAACCCTTTCACACGTAAGTTTAAAATATTTTAACTGACCCCCCAGCGTGAGTTTTTCAAGGCGACGTTACGGTTTTTAGAACTTGTCACTTTAATGTTTCCATGGTGACGCGTCATTCCTTGTCACGTGACACAGCGCAACCACAACACAGCGCTGAATGAATGATGATCTGCTTTTATGTCATTTTTCCTTTTTTATCAAAAATATTCACAAATGTATTAGCTATAGCATGAAACACTGATATTCCGATTGTCAAATATGTGCAAGTGGATGTGTTTTATTGTTCAAACACCTTCATGATCGTTAGTTTGTGCCACAGAGAATCGGATCTGTTGGATTTACAACACGTGACGTCAATTCCTCCACTTCTCACGAAATACATGAAAGTAAGAGGCCGGTGAACTGGGAGAAGAATAGGGTAAAATGTGAAGCTACGTACACAATGTGTATCTGATATGAATAAAACGTGTCGTCTTATTATAATGAAAAGGATTAATATTGCCGCTTCCATAGAAATCAGCAAAATCAAAATCATTGTTTTGCTAGTACTTAACTTATGTGTATTTAAATGTCTGAAACCTAAAATAAACATTATGTGGTTGAAAACACTCAATGGTTGTGATATATGACAGCACTGGCTCAGCGCCAGCCAACGTGCGAAAGCACATCTGTCACGTTACCGGCTGCAGTGCAGAGCAGTGCGTAGAAGACAGCAGCTGTTTTCAACGTTTCTATCAAAAACTAATAAATTATAGTTTTTTTATTTAAAATAAAAGCGATTACAAAGGAAATGTTTACTGTTCATGGTTTTTATTTTATTGTATGGAAAAATCCCACTTACAAAACAGACCGCCATTACATTTTTCCTCTCGCGCACCCCCTGGTGGCAGCTCGCGTACCCCTGGGGGTGCGCGTACCACACTTTGGGAATCCCTGCAATGGCCAATCAGAGGTGTTTGAGAATCTGTTCAATAGCGCAGCGCGGAAAATCCTGGTATCGTCACATTTTTAAAGTTTCAGTACGACTTGGTACCGAAGTTGGTACTTCTGACAACTCTAGCCTGTGTGTTGAAGAGTGACCTCTCGAACCTTTGACCCACAGGTCCTCTGTAAGCTCACGGGTGAGTGCCATTACTCCTCTGTCTCCGATCAGAATGTTGTCGTTGAGAGTAACTCTGCGTAGTCCTTTCATGGCCTCAAACTCAGCCCTCCTGTAGCGCAGCGTCTCCACCCACACCGCACTGTGCCGCCTCACTGCCTGGTGCTAAACGACAGGCGAAACTCACGAATCCGCTTCCAGAGAAATTGATTATACTAATAAATGTGAACTTGTACCTTTATGATGTTCGCCATATGCTCCGCTCCCTGCCAGGTAATGTTACAGGAAGTGAAATCCACGGTCTTAATCGATGATGAATATTTCACACTCTGACAAATGACTGATTAAAGGACAATATAGTATATATCATACTTATACTGTGAATATTGTTTTTGAAAATACTTAACCTGCAGTGACTTTTTTTGACTGTAAATAAATGTATTTGTATTATTAGAATGTAATTTTCATTGACATCAAAAAAAGTTATGTAATAATTTATGTGACTTGTAATGCATTACTTTACTCATTTCATCAAAAAAGTAATCTAATTACGTAATGCATTACTTCTTAGATCAAAAAGTTATCCGTTTACGTAATGAATGTTGCTTGTAATGCATTTATTTACTCGTAACATCAAAAAGTAATCTGATTACGTAATGCATGTTACTTGTAATGCATTACTTTACTTGCTAGATCAAAAAGTAATCTGATTACGTAATGCATGTTACTTGTAATGCATTACTTACTTGGTAGATCAAAAAGTAATCTGATTACGTAATGCATGTTACTTGTAATACATTACTTTACTTGCTAGATCAAAAAGTAATGCATTAATGCATTAGGACTTCCTGCTCTGCTACTGTTCGGACGCTCTTGCTTACCGCTCCGCGCTTTGCTCTATCGCTTTTATATTTTTATATTTTATCTCCTTTTATCACCTAATTTTAACTTCAGCTAATCAGCACAGTGCTCAAACGCATGGATTACTATAAAAAAGCAGAATAAACCAGCCTCCCACTGCTTACATTCCGGGGAAGAAAACACAACTGCCTACATTCTAAAGGATAAGAGAAAATGCCTCTTCTGGAATCTACTTGCTGCACTAACTGCCACAGACTTTTACAAAGGATTGTAGTTCTTGAAACAAAGTTACTTGTGGGACCACCAAACCAGTCGGAACACACAACAGAGCTTCGTCATGGACGCCCTCAGCATACAGCCGGTGAGTCCCATGAATCTAGTCCTCCTCGACAGGCCATACTGAGTGTAGAGAAACAAGCCGATCGACTTACAAATCGGTGGCACAAACAGGGAGCGAGACCCAAAGGCACTCGAGACATCAGATTGTCACGAGCATCACATATTGCTGCAGTAGCATCCTCTACCCCAGATACAGCTCTGACAAGGATTGCAAACACTGGTCTCCTACCACCGCCTATACATCTTGAGAACAGATTTGAAGTATTAGTGAATGTAAATGAGGAATCCCCAAACGTGATGAATGTGATCGAACAACGACTGAATCAGCCAGTAGCTAACACTGATGCTAACTGGCGCTCAAGGTCGAGCAGACAGCGGCTCTCAGCTCAGAGCACAGCCGAGCACAGGACTCTGATAGTGGGCGACTCAATAATCAGAAACATTAGCAGCAGGGATACAACTACGTGCTGCCTTCCACAAGCAACAACATCTGATGTAAACAGGGAACTTCAGAACATTCTGATGAAACATAAGACGGCAAATCGACTTATCATTCATGTCGGGAAGAATGATATTCATAAAGAGCAGTCAGAACTCCTTAAGAAGGATTTCAATGAACTTTTTGAAACACTTAAAAGACTGAAAGTACAAACATTCATCAGTGGACCACTCCCAGCAAGAGGAACAAACAGATTTTCACGGTTGCTTGGGCTTAATACATGGCTCCAAAAAACCTGCTATTTAAAAGGAGTGAACTTCATTGACAACTTCAATCTTTTCTGGAGTCAGAGGCAACTGTTTCAACAGGATGGGCACCACCCAAACAAACTTGGTTCAAGAGTGCTAAAGGACAATATCTACTTCTCCCTCAATCATCCTTCTGCAGTGTGTGCCAATCCACTCAAGCTGAATGGCGCACACACACCTGGACACAGTATGAATGACCACAGGACTTCACTTCAGCACCTGAATGGACATGCGGTTGACACGTCACACAAGGACAATCATAACACCACTCAGCCAAAACAGCCACTGCTCACGGACACAATCTCAGCTGAGCCCTGCCCACAGAGCTCACCACAGACAGACTGTGACATACTAGAACTGCTCCAAGATTCAGCACCCAAGGACGACTTGCTGGAAAACCAGGACAGCATTTTACAGCCTCCAATAACACCAGAGAAACAGCCCCCTCCAGCCTCTACCCTCTCACCAGACACGTTATCCCTATCTCCAGCATCTCCACAACATCTTCTGTGCTTCTCAGAGAAAATGGAAAAACTGGTGTTTGCTGGAACCAAACTATCTGCAAGCCCCCAGACATCAACCAAAAAACGGCAGGCCCCAAAACCACGAAAGCCTGCGGGCCCAGCTCGCTCTCCGCTTGTGAGAGCTCTTCGGCCTCTGCAAAAACGCCAGGGCTCACACCCTCCTCCATCGGCTCGAGGTGAACCAAAAACAACTGATACCAGCTCTCAGTGATATGTGCCGGGTGCCCGCTATGATAACAGTAACTTTCTCAAATGTTTACAGAACAAGCGGGAACCCAGTGTGCCTGTATCTTTCTCTATTGCTGTTCGATTACATGATAGAAAATCTAAGGCCTTCAAAAGCCGTACAGCAAACCCATCTAATCTGGTGCCTATTACACGCCAAACTAAGATTGCTGTGGGGACAAAAAGTAAGACTGTTAAGTTAGCACTTTTAAACATCCGCTCACTTAAAAATAAATCACTTCTAGTCAATGACTTAATAACCACATACAACCTGGATTTTATGCCTCTAAATGAAACTTGGCTAGAAGACAGCTGCAGTGCAACAGTCCTCAATAAAACAATTCAATTCAATTCAATTCAAATTTATTTGTATAGCGCTTTTCACAATACATATTGTTTCAAAGCAGCTTTACAGAAAGTGCATTTCAGAAATGTACATAGAAGAATATAGTTAGTTAATCATCATGTATTAATTTAGGGCATAACATATCGCCGGCGTTGAGTCGTCTCTTCACAGGCGTCGAGTCGTCTCATCGCAGGTGTTGGAGCATCTGAAGTCTCCGTGAGAGTCTGGATACAAACTGGAGCTGACGAACGCTATTTACCTCGGGACTAGCGTCCCGAGATAACAGCAGAAAAGCAGATGGGAAATAATTAGCGTAGCTGCTGTTCATAATATTAATGCATTCGATCTGATTCAACAATAGAAGGTAAGCATTATGTGAATGCTTGGCTAAAGAGATGCGTCTTTAATCTAGTTTTGAACTGGGAGAGCGAGTCTGAGCCACGAACAGTATCAGGAAGGCTATTCCAGAGTTTAGGAGCTAAATGTGAGAACGCCCTCCCTCCTTTAGTGGACTTAGATATCCTAGGAATGACCAGAAGCCTCGAATTTAGTGATCTTAACGAACGCGATGGATTGTAGGGCGATAGAAGGTCCATTAAATACACAGGAGCTAAACCATTTAGGGCTTTATAGGTCAGTAGTAGTACTTTGTAATTGATACGGAACTTAATAGGTAACCAGTGCAGAGATGATAGAATCGGTGTTATATGATCATATTTTCTTGACCTAGTAAGAACTCTAGCGGCTGCATTTTGCACTAACTGTAGCTTGTTTATTGAGGATGCAGGACAACCAGCTAATAAGGCATTACAGTAATCTAGTCTCGAGGTCATGAATGCATGAACTAACTTTTCTGCATCAGAAATAGATAGCATGTTACGTAATTTAGCAATGTTTCTAAGGTGGAAAAAGGCAGTTCTTGTAACATATGAAATATGATTTTCGAAAGACAAGTTGCGGTCTAGTATAACACCCAGGTCTTTTACTGTAGTCGATAAGGTAACAGGACATCCTTCTAAATTAAAGTTGTATTGTAAGAGATTTTGTGGGTAGTTTTTTGGACCAATAAGTAATACCTCCGTTTTATCTGGATTTAATAGCAGGAAATTACACGTCATCCAGCATTTTATATCTTTAAGACATTCTGTCAATTTTGATGAGTTAGTGTTTTCATCTGGTCGTGATGAAATATATAATTGAGTGTCATCAGCATAGCAGTGGAAATTAATTCCATGTTTTCTTATAATATTACCAAGTGGCAGCATATATATTGAGAATAGCAGAGGGCCTAACACCGATCCTTGCGGCACTCCATAGTCTACTGACGTTATCTTCGATTTTTCCCCATTTAAACAAACAAAATGGTAACGGTCCGATAAGTACGATCTGAACCAGCTTAATGCCTGTCCCTGAACACCAGTGTAGTTTTGTAGTCGATCCAAGAGTATTTTGTGATCTATAGTATCGAACGCAGCGCTAAGATCGAGTAGAACTAATATTGAGATACAGCCTTGGTCAGAAGCTAAAAGTAAATCATTTGTAATTTTAACTAGCGCAGTTTCTGTGCTATGATGCGGTCTGAATCCTGACTGAAATTTTTCATATATCTCATTTTCTTGCAAGAAAGAGCACAATTGAGCGGACACAATTTTTTCTAGTATTTTAGACATAAATGGAAGATTTGAAATGGGTCTGTAATTTGCTAAGTTATTTTGATCTTATTGCGGTTTCTTAGTAAGAGGTTTTATAACTGCCAGCTTGAATATTTTTGGAACATGACCTAAAAATAAAGACGAGTTAATAATATTAAGAAGAGGCTCTTCCACTACAGGTAACACTTCTTTCAGTAGTTTAGTGGGTATTGGATCTAATAAACATGTTGTTGGTTTAGATGCAATGATAAGTTTATTTAGCTCTTCCTGTCCTACAGTTGTAAAGCGGTGTAGTTGTTCTTGAGGGGCGATAATTGATGCTGAATCATAAGACACCATAGTGGATTGTACATTTACAATTGTATTTCGGATGCTTTCTATTTTCTCATTGAAGTAATTCATAAAATCATTACAACTATACTGTAACGGAATAATTTGCTCGGGTGATGTCTGTTTATTTAATAGTTTTAAATAAACTAATAAAACAGCCCTTCCTAACTTTACTTTAATGAGTGTCTGCAGAGCTGTTAGGAGAGGAGGGGGAGTAGCTGCTCTTTTTAAAGATGTCTATTAATGTAAGCAAACATCATTTGGTAACTACCCCTCTTTTGAATATCTGGGTATTGTGTTAAAAGGTGCCCCACGCATTTTACTTATCATTATTTACAGGCCTCCAAAATACTCTCCAGCCTTTGCTGAGGACTTTACAGAACTGTTATCATCAATCTCCTCAGAGTTTGACTGTTTTGCTATTACTGGAGATTTTAACATTCACATAGATAATGATACAAATATGGCAAAATAAATCAAAACTGTTTTAAAAACTTTTGATCTGACTTAGCATGTACATGGTCCCACACACAGTAGCGGTTTTAGGCACGGGCGAACCGGGCAGTCGCTCGGGGCGGCATTTTTTTTCATGTCACATGGGGGGCGGCACGAGCAGTTAAAAAAAATCCTCTGCGCCACTAAGGTTTTCTATTTTCTATCATTTCAATTCAATTATTGGTAATGGCGCCCCTGCTTGCTGAGAAGGTGCCGTGCACAGAAGCGATGTCAAGGGAGTCTCCTGATTGGAGGTAACTCACCAAGGGGCCGTTCACATATCACGTCTTTTGCGCGCTCGAGGTCGTTGTTTCAAATGTAGGCGCACGGGAAGCGCGCTCATAATTGAAGCGACGCGCTCATTTTTTCCACGAGCAGCGAGATGAAATTTTTTTAACTTTTCAGTAGGGGGGTGCACCCAAACACGTGGGTGTTTTTCTCTTCTCCGTAAATAAATCTTTTAGCAGAGCTACAGCAAGCGTTTTTCTGTGGTGGAAATCCATTAGCTACTAAAACTTCTTTGTCGTTGTGGAGAGCGCAGTGCATGGCTGTATAGCAACGACAGCCATGGGAAAATCGGACCGAATTTTACTATTAATAATAAAAGATAAGCTACTGTGCATTATAATGTCAGGAATTTATCTTTATTGACTCATTCTTTTTATAAAGATGATTTAAAGGCTGAAATATGTGAGGTTTATCTTTTTATAAAACCTTTTTTTTGTCAAAAGTTTATTTGAACGTGTGCATGTTTGTAGATAACATAAAAGACACTCCTTTAAAATTTGGCCATCATCTTTAATGTTATTAACTTGGTGAATAGATTTCATTGTGTATTAGGCCTACTTTTTGAACAAGATTCTGTGTTTAACCGTGATCATTTTGGTCACTATATTCATGAAATGAAAGTAATTTTCCTAATGATCAAATAAAATCAACTATAATTATGTGTTTTTACAGTAGCCTATAATATGCAAAGTACAATTTTCTATTAAAAAATAAGGGGCTCGAAGGGGGTCTCGCCCAGGGTGTAATTCAATGTAGAACCGCCACTGCCCACACACAATCGTGGACACACTCTAGATTTACTTATCAATAAGGGTCTAAACATTTCATCGATTGTTATTAAGGACGTAGCACTGTCTGATCATTTCTGTATTTTCTTTGATATATTGATCTCTCCTACCATTGAAGCTAGATCTGTGTCTGTCAAGAAGAGATGCTTAAATGAGAACACTAGTGTGCTATTTATGAAGGCTATATCTTTAAAACCAAGCATATCTGCTGACTCTGTTGATTTTCTCCTTGATTCTTTTAACTCAAAGGTTAAAGGTTGTTGGGAACTTATTTCTTCTAAAGTGTAGGAAAACTCAGAATCGAAGACCAGGAGACTCGGTGTATCTTTTCTAAGCAGGATTCTTTATTTTCTGTAGCCTGCTTCGTCCAAGATCGTAGCCAAGTCTGATTAAAGCAGTAAACATTGTAGTTTTGTATACATTTCAAGGGGGAGGGGTTACATGGAGGTGGAAACAAAACATGTAAATGAAGTATGGAAGTCAGCCGGAAATTCCCCAGCCCTGATCTCATCAGCATAGCAGTTATTCAGAGCCTTGAGATGCTAATCCAATCAGCCTGCTCAAACCTTCACATTATCATAGAGACAAAGGGTGGGAGTCTCAGTAATCTGTGATATTTAACTTACAATAGAGAGATCAGGACAGACAGAAACCGGCAGGTTTGTGAATAAAATTCCTTAGTTTATGTACTATAGTTTTGGAACCTAAATTAAACATTGAAATAAATTTGTAATCCTACATTTCCCCCTTTGAGAGTTCTAAATAACTCTCAAAAAATACAAATTTAGACACTTAAAAGTTCTCTTGTAACTTTGTGAAACATTAGCTCTGTGTTTTCTTTTCTGGAATTGCATGCTGACACAGAAAACAAACATACAATTACGGTCCGTGTAGATTTTACGGATAATTATCTTCATTCATCAGGTGTAATTTAGTTGAAAGATCAAGAGTGTCTTGTTGGAAAACCATGTTTGTGCAGGAGTCCTGGAATGCAGCCATCTTCGTGTGTGACGTACAAGCATTCTTTCCAGCAAACAAGGCGTTTTTGACATATTCATCAGCTAAGAATATGTTGTTTCTGGAGTCCAGACTTTGTGCGATGTCCATGATGGTTAATAGTACGACAATCTTGATCATGTTGATGGATGATTGAAGGTTCCGTATTTCGGTCTCTGCGTTGTGTATTTTTCTTCTTTTCTTTATCCTTTTGTGATAGTTGGCTGTGCAGTGGGTCTAGTTGTTTTCTGGAAGTGTAGTCTTCATATGCAGGTGAGACGGTCGTTGCATATGGATCCCAGAACAGCCATCATGTGGTACCTGCACAGAGGGAGAAAGAAAACAAAAGACAGGAGAGCAGTATTTGTTCAAACCCTATGGTTGTAAACTTTTCCGAGTCTGCTTTTGTTGTTCCCTCTGTCTTTCCCTATTTCTTAATTCGTTTGACACCTAAAGAAAGCAGTGAGGTAGGGATGGACTATGGAGGGGGAAGGCCTATGAGGTAGTCTTCACCGCAAGGGTTGGCCCCCGATGCCTGTTGCAATCGGTTCTTCCCTGGGCTCCTCGCTGTTTCTTGTCCTGTCATTTCCCTGTGGGAGGGGAAACAACTTTTACAGTGTGACACAATGAGTCCAGGTTTATCCTTACACAATACTGCCGCTACTTTAATTTACATCACTTGATGTGGTCCGTGCCATTTAAGCTCTAATGGCTTGCAATATTCTAGACACTTCCTTGACTACCTGTCTGGTGACGTGTGTACCTTGATCTGTGTAACACAATCGTGAGTCATTTCTCCTTCATCCTCTAACACAACTTCAGTCATTGTAGACATCATACATGAGAATGGTGACAAAAATGACGTTTGCTTGATTCATTATTGCGGTCACTACATTGAGGGCATTTTAAGTTTACAGCCTGACCTAAACTCATTACTAATGAAGGGCCTGTGCTGTAGACAACATTTAAGGCTGTGAGTTTACTTAACCAGTGTCCCCCAAAGGAAAGCTGAGACAGTCACTTTCCTTTTTGTTCTATTAAACAAAAATAAGACTTTTATCTCTGTTGTAAGTTACTGGGGAGAATTAAGCACTCACAGCACAAATGGTTAGCACCTCAACATGTTGCCCCACCCGTTTAATGACGTGGGGAGGGGCTGCTTCAAATTAGCAAGCAGATTGAGTAGCAGCTGAGGATCATTGTTAACTTCGATAAAGTTCTTTTTGCTTTTCCTACACTCTTTTCTCCAGTGTCCAGGCTTACCACAGTAATAACAACTGCCCTCTCTCTTAGGACATTTACGTTTCTGTTGGTTCTCTGTGTTGACCTTAAAGGATGCTGCTGCAATGTTTACGCTTGCCCTGACATCAGAATCTCTTTCCCAAGCAGCTAAACTGTCCAAGTTGTTTTGCAGGGTTCTAGTGGACCATGTGAAGTCTAAGAAAGGCAAAGCATTTCTATGCTCTGACAAAAGACCATCAAACCATGTGCGAACGAGGGCACCATTGTCCTCTAGTACCTTCTCTGAAGTGTCAACAATCCCACTGCATGCTGCAGCTGTCTGACAAAATCTTTCTGTGTACTCACATACATTTTCACCTTTCTTCTGTACCAAACTAGTGATTTTTGACCAGTCCACTTTTGGTCCAACAATGTTCTTTAACACTCTCAGAACTCCCTCTCTCAATTCATCTTTTCTGGCATGCTGTAGTTCAGAATAGTTTACAGCATTTTCAAAATCATGGAATTCTGACTCAGTCAAGATCTGTGATATTAGCTGGTTGACTTCAGCTAGAGACATATCGTAGAGCCGCATCTTTTTTGACAATTCTCTCCTAAAATCAGAAAAAATTCTTTGCACTGATGGCAAACTTTCAGCAATTCCTTCGATATCTTTATCTTTATCATATCTTGTAGCTGCAGTATGGGGTTTCCTGATTGAACTGGATCAACCCCTTTTCCCCTACTCTGAGACTTTTGTCTTGCGCCACACACTTCAACTGCATTTACATCTTTCATCAATACAGCACTGACATTGTCCTCTATTCTATCAAAAAACTGTACATCAGGATAGCTTTCATCTGACTGTTGGTTTTCTGAGTCACAGAATGGATGGGCTTTGTTATGGCCCACCTTTGTCTTGAAACAGGACACTTGAGTCTGCAATAGTTTGTTCTGTTCTTTTAACTTAGCAATACACTGAGCTTGAATGGATAAGCTAAATTCCATGTGACAGAAAATAATGCCTTTTAGGTTTCTCTTCCTGATACATGCACCTAACACCTTTTTGCATTCTTCAATAGACCATACTTTTTCAGGGTGTATACCAAATTTCTTTGTCAAATTCAATCTGACTGACTCAGTCCCTATGGAGTCCATGTGCTCTCCTAACAATGACTTGAACTCACTGTCTGACCATAGAGGGCTAGCTAGTCCACCTTTCTGAGTTGATGGAACTAGCCTAGCATTCATTCTAACCATTTTCTGAGTTTCTTTGTTACCACACAAACAAACACTAAAACTTCTCTGTTCAAACAGAGGCTACACTCGAGGCAACACAGAATCTTACTTGTAACCAACACATCAACTATTAGCACGTTACGCTAATCTTCCCTGAAAGAAACGGAAAGGATATTTCACCTTCCTAACTTTTAGAGGATAAAGCAAAATTACTAGCATGTAATGCTAACTCTTCCCTGCCTGAAACAGAGGATCAAACTTTCCTCTCTAAAAGAAAATTTTAGAGGGTAACACCACAAAATAAATAGCCTGTAAGACTACCTCTTCTCTGCTTGCACAGAGGCTAACAATATTTTAACTTGAATGCTAAAACTTCCCTGTCTGCACAGAGGATAACTTTTCATCTCTAACAGAAAACTTTAGAGGATAAACTTAGCCAACCAAACTCTACAGCTGTCTGTTAACTCTTCTCTGACGGCGCAGAGGAATAAAATTTGTACTGGTCTTCAGTGGTTCTTTGAATAGAGTGAAAACTCACCAAATCGTTTGTTGTATAGAAAGATTCAGTCTGGAAACTCGGTCAGCTTTGTTGAGATCTTTTTTGAGATTCAGTTCTGGAACTTAGTCCGCTTTGTTGAGATTCAGTTCTGGAACTCAGTCCGCTTTGTTGAGATCTTTGTTGAACTTGTTTCAACATTCCGTCTGGAACTCAGTCAGAAAAATTCTTCTTTGTTGAGATCTTTGTTGCTTGAAGTTTCAAGATTCAGTTCTGGAATTCTTTGTTGCTTGAAGTTTCAAGATTCAGTTCTGGAAATCTTTGTTGCTTGAAGTTTCAATCTGGATTAAGGTGATTCAGTCTCTATCCGGGTCACAGGGCACCATCTGTTGGGAACTTATTTCTTCTAAAGTGTAGGAAAACTCAGAAGCGAAGACCAGGAGACTCGGTGTATCTTTTCTAAGCAGGATTCTTTATTTTCTGTAGTCTGCTTCGTCCAAGATCGTAGCCAAGTCTGACTAAAGCAGTAAACATTGTAGTTTTGTATACATTTCAAGGGGGAGGGGTTACATGGAGGTGGAAACAAAACATGTAAATGAAGTATGGAAGTCAGCCGGAAATTCCCCAGCCCTGATCTCATCAGCATAGCAGTTATTCAGAGCCTTGAGATGCTAATCCAATCAGCCTGCTCAAACCTTCACATTATCATAGAGACAAAGGGTGGGAGTCTCAGTAATCTGTGATATTTAACTTAAAATGGAGAGATCAGGACAGACAGAAACCGGCAGGTTTGTGAATAAAATTCCTTAGTTTATGTACTATAGTTTTGGAACCTAAATTAAACATTGAAATAAATTTGTAATCCTACAAGGTGTAATAGATTATATTGCTCCTGTGAAAGTCAGGAAGAGTGGTAGACAAAAAGCACCTTGGAGAAACACAACAGCAGTGCAAAATATGAAAAGAACATGCAGAAAAACGTACTCGGTTACTAACGTAACCTCGGTTCTCTCTAGAGAGGGAACGAGTACTGCGTAATAGCTTACGCTAGGGGAAAAACTCTTTTCCGCGAGATATTGAAGCCAAAAATTATCCTTAATTTTTTATTAATGTAAAACGCTTTGCAGCAGCAAGCAGACATAGGCGAAACAGCTCGCGCGCCTATTGGTTGCTCTGCAGCAAATGCAGCAGCCTATCGAGAGAGACTCTGCGTGACGTAATGACCAATGGGGGCAATTCGCGCCCATATCGTCACGTCCCGCCAGAAGGGGCGTGGTCTCACCCTATAAATATGCTCGTTAGGCTGATACAAGCTGGTTTTTATCACTGAAGCGAACCAGAGCGTATTCCAAGCACGGCAAGATACGCAGTACTCGTTCCCTCTCTAGAGAGAACCGAGGTTACGTTAGTAACCGAGTACGTTCTCTTACGAGAGTATCTCTCGTACTGCGTAATAGCTTACGCTAGGGGAACACAATGCAACACGCCGTGCTTACAGGGATCCAACACCAAAGTCCCGGGGGCCGAAGCCCAGGGCTCATGTCAGGGCCGGCGCTAGCCATTTGGGTGCCCTAAGCACAAATGCTTGGTGGTGCCCCCCCACTCCCAACCACCCACCCACCCAAGGAATAACAAGCATTCAGAATTTCTTAGTTGGGTTCTCTTTACTTCCAAAATAACTGCTGCAAATAAATCATTTACATTAACAATGGCACCAAATATGAAAAGAAATAAATAATATAAAGGTTAAAATTATAAATACCAAAAACCACCACAATTACTAAAAACACAGATTTGGAACATGAATGATATATGTGTGTACTGTGCATAATTATTTTGTATATATAAATACACATTTGCATGTATGTATTTAAGAAATATTTGTTATTTATATATAAAATATTTAAATTTATATATAATATAAATTATATATAATTATATACAGTATATACATGCAAATATTTCTTAAATATATACATGCATATGTGTGTGTATTTATATAATATATTCATATAAACATTTTATGTACTGTGTATAATTATTTTGTATATTATACAAAATAATTATACACAGTACAAACACATATATCATGTAGACACAAACTTTTATTTTGGATGCGATTAATCTTTTCCCAGCCCTAATAATTTGACAACTCTGTGAATATGAAAATATACAAACACTGAGATTGTGTTTTTTTTTTTTTTCTAATTGCAGTTTCACCAACAGATGTCGCCCTTGGGCCTTGGCCTATGAACCTCTTGAAAATTATCCGCATAGAACAACAACGAAAAAACGTATCTAAGCGGTCTTCCTCTTCTTCTCAAACAAACTAACTGCATCTTAAACAGCCCAAGTTTCAAAATTCGAGAAACCCCCGGACCCCCGTTAAAATAAAAGATTCAACATGCAGGGCTAAAAAAGCCCCGGATCATTTGCACTACTAGCGACGCCCCCTGGACATGCAATCACGACGCAAGGGCGCCCGCGCTACAAAACTAACATTTTTATTTAAAACATTGTCTACCTGCAAGCGACGCGTGAGTATCATCCCGCTGTCTCTTCTTTTTCCTTTTTTCCGCCCCCAACTCTTGGTGCCTTTTCGAGGCTATGTCTGAGGAGGTCGGTGTCTGCCAA